TCTGGGCCCTGGTGCCAGCTGTAGATGGGGTTGGGCGATCGCGCCGCCTCGGCAGCGCATCGGCGATACGTCGGAGACGTCGGAGGGGAAAAACTCGGGCTCGGGGTCGCGCCGCATCGCCGATGTACCGACGCGGCGAGGTACTCCGACCCCATGTGCTCTGGGGCCCACGCGGGCGGCCTGGAGAGAATTGGTGTGTTCACTCGTGGCAGCGTTTCACCATCGCGAGTCAAGGTTCGAGGATCGCGGATGTTGGACGGCCTTGGGCATCCTGGGGCGCTGTCGTCCTCGGGCCTGGGGCCAGAAGAAGCGGACCTGGGACGGGCAACTGCCCAGGGGAAGCGGTCGGGAGCCCCAGGGCCGCGGACGGAACAGAAACAGCGCGTCTCGTCCTCCTCCTCCTCCTCCTCCTCCTCCTCCTCCTCCTCCTCCTCCTCCTCCTCCTCCCCCTCCTCCCCCTCCTGTCGACCGGGGGCTTGGAAACCACACGGGCGCGGGGACGCATCCAAACTCCACAGTGCGGACGCTGGGCAAGGGGCGGAAGACCCTTGGACGGCCACGCGGGAACAGTGGCGGCGGCAACGAGCCAGCAGGTCCTGGCCCTGTTGCCAAGGATGGTCCGACGAGGCAGGGGCGCAAGGGCGCCGCCTTGATGAAGCACCAGCTCCAGAGGATCCAGGCCTCTTAGGAGGAGGGGGAGGAGGAGGAGGAGGAGGAGGAGGAGGAGGAGGAGGAGGAGGAGGAGGAGGAGGAGGAGGAGGAGAGGGGAGGGGAGGGGAGGAGGAGGAGGAGGAGGAGGAGGAGGAGGAGGAGGAGGAGGAGGAGGAGGGGAGGAGGAGGAGGAGGAGGAGGGGAGGAGGGGAGGAGGAGGGGGGGAGGGGGAGGGGGAGGGAGGGGGAGGGGGGGGAGGAGGAGGAGGGAGGAGGGGGAGGAGGAGGGAGGAGGGGAGGAGGGGGAGGAGGAGGAGCAGGAGGAGCAGGAGGAGAGGAGGTCCTTCCTGGGGCCTCTGAGTGTGGAGTGCCGACGTCGGCGGCGTCGCACTGGGGCGACCACGCGAGGGCCCGAAGGCCCCTCCAGAGGCCCGAAGGGGGGATGGGGGGGGGGGGGGGGGGGGGGGGGGGGGGGGGGGCCGACGTCGGCGGCGTCGCAACGGAGCGACGCAAGGGCCCGAAGCCCCTCCAGGGGCCCGAGAAGGCAGACACCCCAGGGGGGCACTAAACGGGAACCCATCCTCAAGGCCGGGGAAGAAGATGACGCACAAAGGCGCCGCGTAAGAGCACGAACACGAGCACGACGTGCACGCTCGAACAAAACGCGCGCGAATCGCGGCGAACGCGCGCGTGCGGGCGCGCAGGGCGTGGAACGCCAGGGGGGGGAGACCAACCAACGCCAGGGGGCCAGGAGAACACGTGTCCGCTGTCGGAGCTCCTGGACCCAAGAGAAGAAGCAGCACCTTGGGAGAGCAGTGTTTACTTCCGCCCGCGTCCGCAAAGCCTTCCGCCGCCTTCCGCTGGCGGAGGCGCCCCCGTTTTGCTTCCGCTGGCCTTCCGCCGCCTTCCGCTGGCGGAGGCGCCCACGTTTTGCTTCCGCCGCCTTCCGCTGGGGAGGAGACGTCTTTTCCTTCGAGCCCTCGAAGGCGAGGTCATTTATGGAGCGCCTCACATGAACGCCAGCCGAACCGCCGGTGGATGTCCACCATGTCCGGGAGTGCACTCGTCGGCGCTCTGGGAAGCAGAACGCGCTGACTGCTCGCCAGGCCCAGAAGCCTTCAGGGGCCCAGGCCCTCGTGGAGCCGCGTTCTCGCAGCAGCGCAGGTGTCGAGAATCGTCTCCTCCTCCTCTTCCTCCTCCTCCTCCTCCTCCCCTTCCTCCCCCTCCTCCTCCTCCTCATCATTCTCCTCCTCCTCGCTCGCTCGCTCGCTCGCTCGCTACCTAAGGGCTAGAGAGGTGCCAAGCCCAAGCTTAAAAGAGAAGAGGAGGGCGAAGACAGTGCCCCCTAACATACACATGCAACGAGAGGGGAGGGCGAAACGAGGAGATCCGGCGTTACCACTCGCAGTCCTGAGAGAAGCCTGGGCCAGGACGCTTGAGGCCAACCCGTAAGCAGCTGCTATTAGTCTCCCTGGATCTGACCTTCTCGCGGCAGCATGCCCACCTGAGTGCGAGCATCTACCTCCACAAATGCCTGGCTAAAATTTGGCAACTGGGACCAGTGGGGACGCAATCAGCAGGGTCGGGGTAAGATAAGGAGACCCGAAAGTACACACATCGACATCGCAATGTCTCACACCAGGGGCCTTCAAGATGCAGGAGTCTTCGGGCACGTCCTGAACCGAAACACAGTGATCATCTCTAGGGATGGGGAGGAAAAGCAAGAAGGGCACCTGATGCTGCAAACAAAAAGGTGCGACCTCTAAAGCGGCCTGGGGCTGGCTGTTCTGATGGATCACCGAGTCCGCTTCAGTCTGAGATCTTTTTGTTATGGCTCTTGGCGAGCTGAATCTCCCTCGCGTTCCTGGTTGTTATGGTGAGGTAAGTGAGGTTGCGGATGTGTCCCTCGGTTTTCATGCGGAAGGCATGTTGGTTGCCCTCGGGAGGAGCCTTGTATGCTGGGTTGGACGCTGCTTCCTCCGTTGTTCTTGGAGGCACTCTCGCCAGGTACTCCGGATCTGATAACAATGGGGGGGGGGTCTGCTTTTGGGGGGGGTCTAACGGGCTTCGTCAAACACAATTGTGGGGGGGTCTCGATTTTGGACCCTTTGTTGCCTGTCTGGGGGGGGGGTCTACTTGGGGGGGTCCCAGACCGGCCGTCAAACACTTTTTTGACCCCCCCCCCCAGAATTATGAGATTTGGAGTAGGTCTTCACTTCCCCTGTCGGTGAACGTCGGGGCCGACTGCTGCCGACGTTGACGGCTGTGTGGCCTCTGATGCCGACGGGAGAGCCGCCTTTCCTGCCGGAGAGGGTCCCTGCTGCGGTGCGCAGCGGTGGCCACAGAAGCAGTCGGCATGCCCGCTGACGTCGCGCCCGCAACGGTTGCAGTCCCGTGTTGGGATGCTCCGTGCCATCATGTTTGAACGCAACCTTGGCGAAAACTGGTTCTGTGCTGAATGGAACACAAAACACACACACACACAACAAAAAAGCACACAAAAAAACAGTCTGTGGGGAAAAACACACAAAAAACACACAAACACACACACACACACACACATACACACACAAACACAAACACACACTGTGGGAAACACACACACACACACTGTGTTTGTTTCCCACTGTGTGTGTTTGTGTGTTTTTGTGTGTGCGTTTTCCCTCGAGACTGCAACAGGATGTAGGCCTGGTGCAGTCGGACGAGCGTGCGCGCTCGTGACCTCTGTGGGCCCTGGCCCTGCGATGCAGCGCTCCTTCCGCTGGCCTCGCCGTGGCCAGCCTCGGAAGCAGCTCTCGCGCGCGGGCAGGAAGATGCGGCGAGCCGCGGAAGCGAGCACGACGGGGCTCGGCCGAGCAACATCCGTGTGCTCAGGCCAAAACCCCTCGTCCTCCTCCTCCTCCTCCTCCTCCTCCTCCTCCTCCTCCTCCTCCTCCTCCTCCTCCTCCTCCCACACGCTCGACGCTCGGCGGCACATCGAAGGGACGAGCGCGGGGAACGCAGGGGCGCTGAGCTCCTCCTGGGGCCCCGGCCGAGAGACCGGCGCGGCCCCCCCCCCAACGCCGGCGCGCAGCATCTCGGAGACGAGGGGGCTGGGGCCACCAACACCTGGAAGAGGCCATGTCTTCTCACAAGGCATGGCTACTCAGCCTACAGTCGACCCGTATCAGCAGGACGCGCGGTGAGGATGCGAGGGCCTTGAAAGGCCATGTCGACACTTTTCGAGCGGGGCGCGGCCAACGAAAGTGGCCAAGGATGGGCCGAGGAGGCAAGGATGCAAGGGTACCCCTGGCAAGGTTGCCCAGCCTTGCTATGCGGGTTGACTGTGCTCAACCTATTGATGCACCATGTCTTGGTCTGGCCATGTGTCCTCAGGAGACAAGGCTGCTCTCAGAAGACGTACACGTCGTTCATTTCTAATCATGCTCAGTTCTAGTTGTGCTCGTTTCTAGTTGTTCCCGGCCCCCCTAGTGGCCAGGAAGAGGCCCAGGATAGAACAATTAGAAATGAAAGGATCTTGGCCCCCAAAAAAATCAAATAATTTTCGAAGAACTAGAGACATGAGCAGTGTGTAGTAGCTCTGGTGCCCAAACCCGCTGCTCGGAATTCTGAGCATCGGTGTGGGCTGGCCGCGTGCCTCGCGGGAGCACTGCATCGCGCACGGCGGCAGGGAGCAGGACGAAGAGATGTGTACGGCAGGTTCGTGTCGCGTCGACCCCGGCGCTGGTTCCTGACACCGCGGGCATCGCTCCACCTTGCTAGGGGGCCACATGCGAGCCCTACCCCTACCCCCACAACTTCTGAGGGGCAGGGTGGGGTTCACTTCGCTCGGGAGCTTCCGAACGAAGTGAACCCCACCCTCCCCCTTAGAAGCCGTGGGGGGTAGGGGTAGGGCTCGCACGCGGCCCCCTGCTTGCACGATCGGCCGTTTCCGCAACGTCCGGTCGTTCAAACACCGACCGACTCTGGGGCCGCCGCTGGCGTTCAAAGCTGCACGCCGGCGGCGGGGCCGCCGCCAATCGACGCGACGCGGAGCTGCCATGCATACGAGGGGCCCTGCGGGGACGCGGCTCATTGTTGTCACCACCCCAGGCATCCCTTCAACTTGGAAACGCCCAGGGGTCATAGTCTAGGGGCCTGCACGGAGGCGCGGAAAAGGGGGCGTTGGGAAAAACAAAAAAACAAAAGCAGTTTGTGCACATGATGCTTGCCTTCGTAGACACACGTGCAAACATGCTTACCTTCGTCAACACAGGTTCTAACAGGTTCAAACACGTCAAAGGGTCAATCGTCTGTAAGCGGTTGAAGGCTTCAACCGCTTAGAGACGATTGACCCTGTGTGTCGGTGTCCTTCGCTGCTTCTTCGACGTCCGACTGGCGGCCCCGGAGCTCAAATTCTCCACCGTCGTTCACCTTCTTGGCGCGGATGCACCTGAGGGCCGCAGGAGGAGGGCGAGAAATGCAAGGAGAGGCACTGGGACATCAAAGGGTTACAGTCATCGGCCTGACCTAAGGAATGATAACTAAGGAACGGAGCCCCTTTTTATCCCAAAGAATAACGCAGAAGGAACGATCAAAAATAAATAACGCATGAGGAACTGTAAATAACACATGCAAACGCAAGGAACGACCGAGCCCCTTTTGAAAAGTAAGTGTTCAAGCCGCTCACTGTAAACAAACACAAAAAAACTATTCACCATTGTGGAACGCCCTCCGCCAGAGTAGCAAGAATGTCTGCTCCACGGAGATGAGATCTTCAACGTCAGACTGGGGTGGCAAGGATGAGGACGAAGTCAAGATCAGAAAAGAGCAGGGGAGGGAGACGGGGGATAGAGAGGGAGAAAGTGACCGCGGGAGAAGGGGAGCCTAGGAGCATGAGGAGACGAAGGAGACAGGAAAGACGGAGAGCAGCAACCCCACCGGGACGAGTCCCTTCACGGTTGCCCGCCACGTGAGGCATCCACGGCAGGCGCGCGACCACGTGGGCCCGAGCGCCCTTGCCCGACCACGCTCCCATACCCTCTCAGTCCCTCCCCCCGTGTATTCACCCTCTCCCGCCTTCCTTTTTGTCGCAAGGTGACTACCTACCAGACCACCCCACCCCAGCCCAACCCGAAGACCCGAATTTGACCCCGATTTCGGGTTGGGGGGGGTACGGGTTCCATGTGTTTTTTTTTCAACGTTCCTCGACCCCCCCCCCACTGGAAATGGAGGGCAAATTGAGGGCTTCGGGTTGGGTTGGGGTGGTTTGGTGGGTGGTGACAAGGGCCCCCGATCCAAGAGGCGGCATGGCCTCAGCAGCCTCGTCGAGAGCTAGCGGCTTCTCTGCAGAGGACGGCATCGGACGATGTACAGAAGTCAGAGCCACGGCACTGAGAAGCAAGATCCGTCGAACGGTGCCGCGGAAGCCTCTGAAGGCCTCCAGAGACCTGCGGGGACCTCTGGAGAATTCCAGAAGCCCATCACAAAAATGAGCCCGGCGCGACCCCAATGAGGGGAAAGCTTCCTATTGCACGGGCGCAGTGCTTGGCACTGCTCGGCACTGCTTGGCATTGCCTGGAACGGGCACAACAAAAGTGCGAGACACAGGGGGCAGGGAACCCGCCCGGGGAACCCGGGTAACCCGAGGAACCTGGGAAACCCGGGGAACCCAACCCGAAGACCCCGGGAACACGAAGAACCGGTAACCCCGGGAACACGGGGAGGGAACCCGAGGTTCACCCGGGGAAGCCGGGGAACCCAGGGAAGCCGAGGAACCCGGGGAACCCGGGGAACCCGGGGAATCTCAGGTGAACGGGCAAAGGAGGGTCCCGAGACACCAATATGCAACCAAGTAAGAACCCCTCAGGCAAGCCTAATTAGAGAAAAACGCGGAGGGGAGGAACAACAAAAAACAGACAAGTCTGGATCAATCTGACAGCACGGCAGCCCCATAATCACACTTCGGAACTCAACATGGAAGCCATGCCGCCATAGCTAGATAGAAGGTTCCCCAACGAGTTCGTTTCTACTCAAAGTCGCTTCGACTCAGACGATGTCGGGTCAGAGTTGGGCATATACGAGCAGACACATTTGCTTAGCGTGTAGCGGCGGCGGCCATGGCGACATGCTATGCCCTGCGAGCTGATAGCGTGTCGCTCCGCTCCGCGGGGCGGGAGGCTGGGAAAGGCTCGGGACTTGGACGCCTTCGGACAAGAACATGGATAACGTGTCGTGTCGAAGCGAGATGGGCAACGCTAAGCCAAAATTCCCGACCCTCTGCCTTGGCATGACAAAATCAATTGTCAGCACACGTTCGCTTTGAACGAAGAGAGTCGCCCCATCCACTCAGCACGCGGCGCACACCTGTCACACACCTCACGCCGACCACTGTCAGATGCCGCTCCACCATGCAGCCTCGCGTTCCACCAGAAGGCGACGCAAGCACGGCGGGCTCACGTCGCGATGACATTGGCGCCGGCTTCCGACGCTGGGTGGGTCGTTCAAGCGCGGACGACCGGCTTTCAGAGGCGACGATAGGGGCGAATAGCCCAGGGGAGAGCAATACATGTATTCAGGTGCGCCGATGATCTGTGTCTTCGAAGAGACTCCCGGGCGCATACGTGTCATGCCCGCCCCTGGGCTATTCGCCCTTCTCGGCGCCTCCGAGCCTAGAACGATCGCGGCACTCAGCTCCTTCGACGCCGGCCATCCCTAAGAGCGAAGCGGCGAAGCTAGAGAGTAATTCCGGCGCGCTGGGGGGCTAGTTGGCAAAAAAAGATCGACGGAAGTGTTGCATAATTTTGGTCGGTTGAACATTAATTCCTCGAAATTTGACAATTCGTCAGAGGTGCTGTGGGTGCTTCCGGGCCACCGGCGCCGCCCAAAAGCCGAACGCCCGGGCCCAGGTCGCCGCGTCGACGCGGCGCGCGCGCCTGGCGCAGCAGGGCCCCTCGAGGCCCAGGTGCGCCTGGCCCGCCCCCCGGGGCCCGCGGAGCGAGGCCTCGGCCCACCTCCTCCTCCTCCCTCCTCCTCCTCCTCCTCCTCCTCCTCTCCTCCTCCCTCCTCCTCCTCCTCCTCCTCCTCCTCCTCCTTCTCCTCCTCCTCCTCCTCCTCCTCCTCCTCCTCCTCCTCCTCCTCCTCCCTCCACGCGGCGCGCGGGCAGCTGCTGGCCGCGGCCGCGCTCCCGCAGCGCCCTCTCCCCTCCGAGCCCGCCCACAGACTCCCCGGGAGCACTCCCCGGGGGCTGGGGTCCAGGACACTTTTTCAATCCGCGGGTCGAGAGCGCACCTCCTCCGGTCGAAGCTGAGCGGGCCGCGCACAGCTTGAATCCGCAGAGGGGGGGGGGGGACAGAAGGAGAGGCCTCACGTCTCAAGACCAGGAGGAGGCAAAGCCTCGGGAGCAAGGCCAGGAGGAGGAGAGGCCTCACGTCGAGGTCCGGGGCACGCCGAGCGACGAAGAGAGAGAGGGGGGCCGCGTGCAGAGCGACACGGCGGCCTGCGCAGGCCGCCGTGTCGCGGGACACCCGCGCGGAGAAGGGCGGGGCGCTCTCGCGCGCACGTCCCCCGAGCAGCCGCCGCTGCCCGCGCCAGCGTGCGTGCGCAGGTGCCCGCGTGCACACGCGGCGCGATCGAGGACGCCTCGTCCAGCACCTCGCCCCCTACAGTCGGCGCGGTGACCCAAGGAACCCTGAATAAGGAACGAGGCCCCTTTCTGTCCATGATTGAACTTCGACTTCCCATCGAAACGTAAGAACGTAAGGAAAACCGAAGGCAAGCTGCGAAACAATCAAGGAACAGTGAGCCCCTCCCAAACGAAAAGGCCTCCTTCTTCAGCGCCCCGACTGTGCGTCGGGGCTTCGCACCCCGACGGCCTGCGCGCCCTCTGCGCCCATCTCGTTGCCCGCTACCCCCCCCCCCCCCCGCAATCTGCAGCAGGTGCCTCCGCGCGAAAATTCGTTGGATATCTCTTTGGCGGGCGACCCGTCCGCGGGCGACACCAGGACGCAATCTGTAGCAGGTGCCTCCGCGCGAAAATTCGTTGGATATCTCTTTGGCGGGCGACCCGTCCGCGGGCGACACCAGGACCAGAGGTGGAGGGCCCCCACTCAGCTATTAGAGCGCAGAAACGCAATTCACCTGCAGAAATGTGCACCTTGCCAATCTCAAGACAGGGACAAGCCATCCTCAAAGGCTGTGTGATCCTCCTCCTCCACCTCCTCCTCTTCTTCTTCTGCTTCTTCTTCTTCTTCATCCTCCTCCAGTCCTTTTCCATATCGGTCACTTCTCCCTGTCGCACACCGAGGCCAGTTTCTAGGGCGGGCCGGGCGCTTCGCGTGAGACCTCCTCCCAATTTATGACCCTGAAGCTTAACAATTGGCAACCGCTTCACAGATGGAGGGTGGGTGGCTTTCAAAATGTAGCTCTCGCCTTTGCGCCACGCACCTTCGTTTAAACATTTCCAAGAGTTTCACAGGTTGAGGGCGACCCGTTTTCAAAATGTAGCTGTCGTCCGCGCACATTCGGTTAAAAACATTTGCCAGAGTTTCACCTATTGAGGGCGACCCGTTTTCAAAATGTGGTTCTCGCCCTAGCGCCGCGCACACTCGCTTGAAGCATGTGCAGGAGTTCCACGGATTGAGGTCGATCCGTTGTCAAAATGTGGCTCTCGCCTTAGCGCCGCCGCGCACATTCGTTTTAAATAGTTGCCAAAGATTCACGGTTTGATGGCGGTTCTTTTCAAAATGTGTCTCTCGCCTTAGCGTCGCGCACATTCATTTTTAAACCATCGCAAGAGGTTCATGTATTAAGGGCGGTTACTTTTTCAAAATATGGCTCGCGCCTTAGCGCCGCACACATTCGTTTTAAAAACTGCTGTGCAGAATGTCACGGTTTGAGGGCGGTCGCTTTTCAATAGTTAGCTCCCGCCTTAGCGCCGCGCACACTCGTGTATAACATCTGCAAGAGTTTCAAGGATTCCCATGGTCAGAGGACCAGGCATGATGTTTTGGAAAGAGTCCGGATTTTGCGGGTGCAACAGTTACGTTCGTTCGCGGTGCTGAAGTCCCAAGAGTGACTTTCTGGCACGATTCAGGATGGTCAAAACGCAACAGTCCCGTTGATCCGTTGCGTTGGAATCCCGAGAACAATGTTTTGGCATGCTTCAGGGTCTTCACACGGTTGTCTTCCAACGAAGCAGTTTTCCCTCACTGGACATGAACCGTTGTAGCGGCCTGTGAAGAAGGGAGCCTGGAGGGAGGGTTTACTCCAACCTCGTGGATGACTCCTGGGTTTACACTGGTCCTCCTCCTCCCGCTCCTCTCGCGGCCTCCTCCTCCTCCTCCTCCTCCTCCTCCTCCTCCTCCTCCTCCTCCTCCTTTGCTCGTTCGCTCGCTCTCTCGCCCGCTCGCCCCCTCACCCGCTCGCTCCCTCGCTCCCTCCTCCGCCTCCCCGCCCCACTGCCGATTTGCGACTCCCTGCCTGACCATTTGGCCTCGAACTCTTTGATGACCGCTCCGCCCGACCCAATGAACTTCGCAACATTGTCGAAGCCGATGGGAACACTGAGCCTGCGGTCACACATTCACACACACACACACACTCACACACAGGTTCGAAAACCACGTGCCCCATGCTGGAGGAAGCGGAGGAGGATCAGGATGGAACGGAAGAATGGGTAGGAGAAAGAGATGGAGGACGACGAGGACCGCCACCACCTCGATGACAACGGCAACGAAAACAAAGCTGACGACGACGGAACGGCGACGACTGAGGAAGACTAGTAGAAGACGACGAAGGCGCAATGCATGACATATCCCGCATGATATCAAGGCTGCATCTCCTATCGGCCGCGCGGGGGGATGTGCGCGAGGGAACACAGATTCGACGCCGACGGCGGAGGGGCGAAGGCGAGAACACGCAAGGGTCAAAAGGGGGTCAGGGCCCCACGGGGGCTCCCAATCTGGCCGAAACCGACGCGCGCTCCCCAAATGCCGACCTGCAACATCCCCGGTAGGGCAGCAGTCGGCCGATGTCTCGGCCGGCGCCTACGTGCAGATCCGAGAGCCGTGGCCCGCAACTCTGACCTTCCCACTGCCCCTCATCCCCTGCTCTTCTTCCGAGGATGACTACCCACAAGACCACCCCCATCCACCCCGACTTTCGCCCCGAATCTCGGGTTGGGGGGGGGCGGGTTCCAGATGTGTCTTTTCTCACTGTTCCCCGACCCCCCCCCCACTGGAAATGGAGGGCAAATTGAGGCCTTCGGGTTGGGTTGGGGTGGTCTGGTGGGTGGTGAGATGAGTCGGGCGTTGGTAGAACTGGGTTTAGTAGGACCTGCCTTAGCGATGTGTACTGGGGGGCGCCCTTCCGCCCCGTTCCACTAACTGGAACTGCCATCACCCGAGAAAACACGAGCTGCGGCAGACCTGGTTTAAGTGGTTCTGGCCAAATTAGGGGCTCCGAGGCCCTACCACTGACCGGATCCCCTTGCCTGGGGTCCTGGCTGTATCCGAATGAGGCGCAAGCAATCTGCGCGCCTCTGCCTCTGCTCGCAGGCTGTGGCCGTGCTGCTGCAGCTGCCAGGGGGGCGGGAAGCGCACGCGCGGCTGCATGCGCACGTGGCGCCCCTGGAGGCCACCTGCTCCCAGACATCGGGCGTCTCGAAAGAATCGAGACGAAGATGTTCGTCGTTTTCGGCCCCTCGGGGCCCTCGCCGGGCTTCAAGATCGTCAGAACACGACTCGGGACGAAGAACCGGCCCCGGGGAAGTGGTCGGGATGTCGAGGGCCCGCGTCTCGAAAAAATCGAGACGTCGGATGTCTGGGCTGGATGCACCTGGGCGTGTGTCAAAGTTCACGGGGGGCCACCGGTGAGGGGCAACAAAGACCGGGGTACTAGACGGGCGCGTTCTGCTACTCGCAAGGTAGCTGCTCGCAAATGGCCTTGATCCGCCACAGGTGATCCACGATGAAATACATCAAAGCAGACACGTGTTTGTGGGACGTTTGCGGGTAGGCACTTTGCGAGTAGTGGCACGCGCTCGGCGAGGTACGGCGCGCTCCGGGCGGGCCAGCCATTTCCGTACCCCGGCAAGCGCTGCCGGGGCACAGCGGCGGGGAGGAGGCCGTATACCCTGGCAGGCCCCGTCGGGGTATAGCGGCGCGCACTGGGCGGGCCAGCAATTTCCGTACACGCCGGCAGGCGCGCTCTTCGCCGAGCCGACAAGTTTCGCACCCCGGCAGGCCGTGCCTGGCCAGACGATAGCACAGCGTTGGAAGGACGTTGCGCCAAGTGTCGCTGCATCTCTCGTAGAGAGCAGGACATCCACCCCCAGAAGAAGCACCCCGACAAGCGAAGCCGTTGAGCAAACGCACCCATGGAAGGAATAACAGGGCAGGGCTGTTTAGTAAACGCCCAGGGCTGTTTCGTAAACGCGAACTGTCGGGGTCGGGGTGGTTTTTCCACCCTTGATCTTGACCAGGCCGGCCGCGTCGTGTGCATCCAGCCTCCTGGCTCGAACAAGAACCCTGGGCGCCGCCATGTTGCCAGCCACACCGGCAGGAACACACTCCGCACAGCACTCTTCGCCAAAGAGCGCAGAGTCGAGGCACCTCGCGCACGCACCCCACGGCCTGCAGCACCCCGAGCAGCTCCTGCGAGCAGCCGCAGGCCGTGCGCGCCCCGCCGTTCAGACGGCGACCCTGCGCGCGCGCACGCGCGAGGCGGCCGCGCGGATGCGGCGGTGATCGCCGAGGGCCCTGAGGGCCGAGGCGCTGCTGCCGAGCAGACTGGTGATCGTCGGGGAACTGGTGATCGCCGGCGGGGAGCTGGAGGGCGTAGGCGAGGCTGTCACGCACAAGGTGTATTGGTCGGGGCACTGGTGATAGCCGAAGAACTGGGGGGCCGAGGCACTGCTGCAGCGCAGAATCGATCTTTCTTGGCCCAAAGCAAGCGAGAGCAACAACTCGAAGTTAAGTATCCGTGCTGGCTTGCGACGGGAAAAAAGGCCTGGGTCGGATTGAGCAGATTAGAATCTTGGTGAAGTCAAGCAGAGTGTTGATTGCACATTGTGAAAACTGGTGATCGTCGGGGCACCTCAGGGCCGAGGCGACGCCGTTGCGCAAATTACCGGCTTGTGGATCGTCGCGCAGATTGTAGATCGCAGGCTGTTGGTGTCCGACGATCCACAGAACTGGCGCTCGTCGGGGCACCTGAGGGCCCAGGCACTGCTGTCGCGGCAGAGGCTCAGTGAGGGCGAAGACTGCCGAGTCGCCCTCCTCGCCAAGGTACGCCGCCGGCAGGGGAAGACCGAAGACGCAGCGCCAGGCGGGCGAGGCGCACCGACCGACACGCCCGCTGAGCACGGCGCGCCGCGCAGGGCGCAAGAACAGCGCCTGAGAGCTTGCTTGAAGAAGAAAAAACGCCATAAACACAAACTTATGGCGCTCCGCGCGGAATTCTTGGATCTGCGCTGGACCCCACTCCCTGGCGCGCAGAGCGCGCCAAGGGCGGCGCCGGAGGCGCTGCCGGGGGGCCCCAGCGCGGATCCAAGAAATCCGCGCGGAGCGCCAAAATGTATGTTTACGGCGTTTTTTCTTCTTCGACTTGCGCCACTTGACCCGACCTGAAAAGGCCCGCTTCGACGGCTTCCGCGGGGGCGGTCGGCGAGCTGCGCTCAGGCCAGGCTGAACATGCCAGGGCCGTAGTCTGAGCGCTCCGGGCCGCGGTCGAGTGGCATCGGCCAGTGACCGTCTTGGGAGGGGGCGCCGCATGGGCTGGCCACGCCTGGTTCCTGCTCCTGCCCCTGGTGCTCATCCTTCTCCTGCTCCTCCTCCCTCCCTCCACCAGCTCCATTCTTTTCCTTCTCAATAACTCCTCCCTGCCGCACCCTGGGGACAGTTTTTTGGGCGGGCCGGGCGTTTGGCTTGAGACTTTCCCACCATGTTTTCCCCTGGAGCTTAAACAGTGGCAACAACTTCACAGATGGAGGACCGGTCGTTTTCAAAATATAACTCTCGCCCCAGCGCGGCGCACATTCGCTTCAAACATTTGCAAGAGCTTCACGGGTTGAGGGCAAATCGTTTTCAAAATGTGGCTCTCGCCTTAGCGCCGCGTACATTCGTTTCAACATTTGCAAGAGCTTCACGGAGTGAGGGCAGTTCCTTTTCAAAACGTGGCTCTCTCGCCATAGCGCCGCGCATAGTCGTCCTTTAAATTTGCAAGAGCTTCACGGATTTCCATGGTCAACTTACCAGACATGGTATTTCAAAAGGATTCAGGATTATGAGATCGCAACAGTTACGTTCATTCGCGGTGTTGAAGTCCCAAGAATGGCGTTCTGGCACGATTCGGGATAGTCAAAACGCAAAAGTCATGTTGATCCGTGGATTTGGAATCCCGAGAACAATGTTTTGGCATGCTTCAGGATCTTCAACGTTTGTCTTGCAACGACCTAAGTGGAAATGAACCGCTGTAGGGACCTTTGAAGAGGAAGCTTGGTGGGAGGGTTTATTCCAACATCGTTGATGACTCTTGGGGTTACACTGGTCCTCCTCCTCCTCCTCTTCCTCCTTTTCTTCCTGCTCCTCCTCCTCCTCCGCAACGAGTCAGCACCTGGTCATCATCATCATCATCATCATCATCATCATCATCATCAGCAGCAGCAGCAGCATCATCGTCATCATCATGATCATCGTCATCATCGTCAGCATCAGCATCAGCGTCATCATCATTTTACTTACATCATCATCATCATCATCATCATCATCATCATCATCATCATCGTCGTTCTCCACATCATCATTATCAGCATCAGCATCAACATCATCATGGCCACCACCACCACCACCACCACCACCATCATCATCATCATCATCATCATCATCATCATCATCATAATCAACATCATCATCATCGTTGTCCTACCTCCACCTCCACATACACATACACCTCCTCGTCCCTCCACCTCCACTTGCTCCTCGGCATCCTTATCCTTCTCCTCCTAATTATCATCATCCTGATCATAAGCATTATCATCATCAGCAATTAGCTTCATCATGATCATGATCATGAGTAGCATCCTCATCATGAGAATCATGATCATCATCATCATCATCATCATCATCATCATCATCATCATCATCATCATCATCATTATCATTATGACCACCCTTTCCATCATTATTTCCTGCCTTTCTCGTTCCCCGCCTCATCCTCCTCATCCGCGTCCTCCATGGCCCGCGCCCTCCTCATCTTCCTCCTTCCCCTGATTGTCATGCTTTCCTGCAGGATGAACAGCACCGACGGCAAGGCGACTCTTACGCCAGCAAAATCCAAAAGATGCTGAGAACTGCAATGGACAATCAAAGCCGCCATCGAAGCTATGAGCGCCGCGAGGGCTCCAGTCTCGGAGACGTCGTATATCCGCGCGACAACAGATGCCGCAAGATCACGACTCAAAAAGTCAACCAATGACAAGGAAATAACGCATCCTCCCCCGAAGAGTTCGTAGACCCCCCCCCTCTGACGCCATTGGCCTCCCCCGCCTCCTCTTCCTCCCGTATCCTCTTTCCTCCGACGACAAAGACGGTGACATCGACGACCGCGACGTTGACGATGATGACGACAAGGACAGCGACGACCACCACCACCACCACGACCACGACCACGACAGCGGCGGCGGCGGCAGCGGCGACAACCGCGACGGCGACCGCTTCACCCCGCGCAGCAAGCCTGAAGGTCATGCCGAGAACCTCCCTCCTCGCCGCCTATGCGGGTGGGGAGGGACCAGCGTGCGGGTGCGAGAGTAGACTTGCGAATGAAAGCGAAGCGACTCGGCCCCTGGAAGACCCGCTAAACAATCCCCGTAAGAGATGCTTACCACCGATCCACGTGGTGTAAGATACGCTGCGCTAACTACGTGATGCTACCTGTGTGGAGCGCGTTTCTTTATGTTCGGCGATGACGGGCGTCATGGGGGGGGAGGGCGGGGACGGGTATGACGTAACGCCCCCCCCGCCGTGTGGCTCCGGCACCACAGCCGCGCCTGCGCGCACGACGCGACGAGCGACGAGCGACGACGACGACGACGACGACGACGATGATGACGACGACAACGACGACGACGACGACGACGACGACGACGACGACGACGACGACGACGACTCGAGCAGCATGTAGGTGGCGATCTGCCCAGTGCGCCTGTGTACACCACAACGCTCCCGTGCACCACAACGCGCGTGTACACCACAGTGCCTGCGTACACCGCAGCAGCCGTGTGCAACGCACCGCCTGTGTACACCACAATGCTCGGGAACACTACAGCGCTGGTGTACATACACCGCAGCTACCATGTGCAACACAGCGCCTGTGTACACCACAGTGCTTGCGTGCACCGCAGCGCCTGTGCACGCCACAGCGCCTGTCTACACCACAGCATCCGCGTGCAACGCAGCGCTGGTGTACACCACGGCACCTGCGTGCACAGGACAGGTAGAAGGAGCATGTACGTGAGGATCTGCTGCGGACAACTAAACGCCACGCCAGGAAAGTTCTGACAATCGAATGCGACGTTCTTCCCTCCCCCCTCCTCATTAACCTCCTCCTCCTCCTCCTCCTCCTCCTCCTCCTCGTCGTCCTCCTCCTCCTCCTCCTCCTCCTCCTTACCCCTTGTCGTGCGGTTTGGCGCTATAGCGCACTTGCGCATCTCAGCGTGCACCGCAGAATGGTCGATTGAATCGGTCCACTTGGTTCTCGGACGGCCAATTTAGCTGGAGCCTCCTGGACGCAAATGGGAGTTAGGGTGATGCGGGCGGACTTGGGCGGATTCACGTTTCTATGTACAACAATGGCGCTGTCTTATACACGGCTGATGTGGTGCACACAGGCGCCGTGGCGTACACAAGCACTGCAATGCATGCAGGCATTGTGGTGTACACTGGTGCTGTGTTGCACACGGCTGATGTGGTGTACGCAGGCGCTGTGGTGTACACTGGAGCTGTTGTGCCCGCAGGCACGGTGGCACAAACTGACGTTGTCTTGCACGCGACTGCTGTGGTGCACATAGGCGGCGTGGTGTACACAGGCGCTGTGGTGCACGCGGGTACTGTGATGTACACAGGCGTTGTGGTGCAGATCGCCACCTACATGTCCGTGCTGCCCGCCCTCCGTCATCCCTAAGCATTCCCAGACGCCGACGGCACGAAACGTGACGTCATCGACCCCTTCCCCCCCCCCCAGCCCCCCCCCCCCAGATGATTGCCGTCATCGGCCCGGCCTTAAGAACAGGCTCCAGCCGCGTCCGCGCGCACGACGACGATGAGCGACGAACCACGAGCGACGACGACGACGACGACGACGTCGACGACGACGACGGCGACCACGACCACGACCACGACCACGACGCCGACGACGCCGACGACGACGACGACGACGACGACGACGACGACGACTGCGGACCAGATACCTGCGGACACCTGCGCGGATCCCAGTGCGCACGGCGGCCGTGCCCGGAGCGCATTGGGGGGGGAGCGTTACGTCAAAGGGGGGGGGAGGGGGGGGAGCAGGGGCCATGACGCCAGTCATGCCCCAAGCAATAAAGAAACGGGCTCGCGGTGCCAGCTGAGGCGGGCAAGCTACTAAGAGGAAGCTACGTAGTGGAATCTATTCAACACCAGCTGTTCCGTACAAATATATGGACGTGGAGCGAGGTATGTGGTGCAACTATTGTTTGACATGAATTCAACCCGTCGCTTCCAATTCTCGAGCGAACACCCCACCCGTGTTTGGGCCACTCTGGTGATCACCAAAGAAACCGACCCATGTCAGTCAAAGTGGGTCGGTTTTCGTTGTTCGAATTTCCGTGGCAGAGTGTCTTCAAAGCCTGCTATATGCTTAATGCCGCCGAAACGTCGCAACGTTGAGGTTTCCCCCTCCTCCCCTGCTTGCCCTCCCTGCCCCTGCCCCTCCGTCCCCGATTCTCTGCGTCGCCGCCACGTCTTGCTTGCATTGCTCACCGTGCCTTCCCGCAGGAACTCAAGTGTCAAGAAAGGTCATGATGAACGATGCCGTGCATTGCGCCGATCGTCCGTCGATTGTTTGACACGCAGCAGCGCCGATGGCGCGACAAGCGCAAGCTCCCCTGCAGCTCCACATCCTTGCATGATTTGGTTTTCTGCCGGGGATGGTCACCACGTCACGGAACAAGACCTCTGTTCTTATTGTTTCCACCACCAAAGCGTTGAAATCGAACAACAAATTACATTGACCGCGCACGCCTCGCCAACCGTCTACGCTCTGGTTTTCGGACCATCATCGCCTCAAGCGCCGCGGCAGCGTTCGCATGCAGCAGCAACGCAGTCACCGTCGAGCCGGCAACACACTGCCCACTGCATCTTCCCCATCCGGATGGCACGGAAGGCACGCAGCGCTCTCTCATCCCAGGGTTTTCACAATCTCTTGGACGGCAGCAAACGGCTGGTCATAGAGACACCGGTTGCGCGCTGAAGTTCCTCGCCCAACTTGCTGCCGCAGCGCAGTTGCTTCAAAAGCGCACGGCTGGCTGCCCTAGCTGCTCGCCCAGGTAGAACGCTTCCCCGAGCTACTTTCCGGTTAGCGGGTTGACGCCGACTGGGCAAACGCGTCTTCGACACACTGCGCCTGCTGCCGTCATTTTCACACGCGCTTGCGCGATTTTCGACGCGCACCGATGGGGCAAGTCATCAAATTCATCGAACTGCCAAAAGGTTGTGTTCTAAAAGATGTCGTCGCGTCGTCGCGCTTGCACTTCGATCGACGCGCGCTTGCTCTGGCCAAGACGCGCTGCGATACCATAGGGCCACCGACGTCGTCGCCCGCCCTTCATGGCTCATTCGCACCATGCTGTCCGCAATCCTACTTCGGGGAAAACGCGCGGGCTGGAAAAGGCATCAGAGTTACAGAGCACAAGCTTTCCCGCGCGCGGGCACTGGGGATTTGCAAGGAGAGCTCGGGAAGTCTAGCGCGGCAATATTTGCGCGTTCGCCTAAGCCGCTGATGCGTTTGAGTGGTCTGTCTGTTGGTAAGCCAGAAAACACTTTCACGCGCGAGTCCATCGTTCTGCTGGGCGAACCTGACGCGGGTTCTTGGTGCAACCGCGCGAAGACAATCACAAGTATTTATCGCGGGCCTGTCCGGCAAGGAGCCTCAGCTCGATCGCAGAACAGCTGAAGCCACAAGGTCTTGGAGCAAGCACGTCCGAGCCCGCGCGCTGGCGCTGGCCCGCTGCGCGGCGCCCCATCACAAGAGAACCAAATTGCATGCGGAACGACGCTGCCGCATCAGAGCCCAGCCGCTCGGCGCGTCAATCTGTCGCGCCGCGCAGCCCCATCACGTTCAACTGCCGCGTCGCCCGGCTGCGGGATGGAGCCGGCGAGGGGCGCCAGTCGCTGCGCGTCGCGCGATATCTCACGGGCACCACGTCAATGTCGCGGCCAGCCAAATCCGAAGATCACGCCCGCCTGGAAGACATCGCAAGCCCGCGAGGAGCGTTCGACGCCATCCTGGGCCACTGGCGGGGCCCGCCGAGCGGCCGCGGCAATCTGTTCAAACAGCTTCTGGCAGGCGCGGCGAGAGATCACCGCGCTGCAGACGGGAGGGGGTCGCGGGCAAGCGGCGAGACACGGGCGCTGGACGGCGCGAACCATTAACTTGCACCAGTTCCAACGGTGTCGTTGACGCCGGCCCCGGCATGGCGGGCGGCTGAAGGCCGGCTCGGCCTGGCCTCATCGTCTGAGAAGTCGCGAGTCGCTGGTTCGTCACCCAGCGACTCGAAGTTTGGCGCCGCCTAAATTGCACGCGATCACCAGTTGGACTCGCGGAGCAGCATCCGGCGGGGCGCCATGGAGAGCCCTGCCGCGGCGCGCATGGCAGGGGCGAGATAATGCCGCGACGTCGCGCCCCCCATCCCCGCGGCCGCGCCGCGGCGGCGCCAGCGTCTGCCCCGCGCGCCCCGCCGACGTCGAGCGAGCGCGCCGCTGTCTTCGCGAGGCGCCGCCGCGCGGATCAGAACAAGCAGAGTTCGCAGCAGGGGCGCGCGGGCGATCGCCCCCTTGCCTTCTCGCGGCGCACGCGGCAGCTTCGGGAGCGCCGCCGCGCGGGGCGCGCCGCTGCTCGCAGCGAAAAGGGAGGCCAGGCGGGCGGGGAAGGGGGCGGCGGGAGAGAGCGAGGCAAGACCGCCGCCAGGAGAGCAGGAGCGATCAGCCAACGAGCTGCGACGGCGGCCGGAGATCCCAAAATTTGAGCCACGGACGACGCCACGCGGAGCCGACTTTGACCATGAGCGCGCCATCTTCGCGGCTCGGTGGACCAGAGATAATACCTCGCGGCGCCGCGCGCGCTGCGCGGCGCGCTCGGCGGCCTCGCCGGCGCGCGCCCAGGCCTGATTCGATGCGCTCGACGAGGATCGCGACCCCGAGCTGGCTGATCACGGAACAGAAGCGACACGCGACAACGGCGCGGCCCAGGCACTCGGCCGCGCCGCGTCGGAAAGACCGCCCTTCGATCGAGCTGGCGCTGAAAAGCCGAACTCCCCTTCCTCGCAGCTCGCGTTCCCACGTAGAGATGGCAAGGGCAGGTGCGACCTTTTCCAGGCCAGCGATTTGGTCGCCCCTTCGCTTCTCGAATAGCCTGCGCGTCGCCGCGCGAAGCCGCGACGGCGCATCGGGCGAGGCCGAAAGGAGACGAGGGGGGTCGCCGAGTTCGCCGACGCGGCGGCTCGAGATCCGCGAAT